CAGAACACAGTGTAAAAGTGCCCTGGGGGGGGAGCCCAGTGTAAAAGTGCCCTGGGGGGTGTGCCTAGTCCCCTGGGGGGGAGCCGGGTGTGACAGTGCCCTGGAGGGGGTCACCACACTAAAGGCTCCTCTGAAGTCATGTCCATGCCGGCTGTTACAGAAGGGGATTGGACGAAGAACTCACATTGACGTCTTCCCCCGACCTGCTCCAGGTAATGCTCCGCGCCACCGGCTGTGACTGGATGACGCATTTATAGTCCTGAGCCTGCAGAGCGTTCAGCACTTGTCCTCCGGAGCCGTCCTGCAGGAGGACTGAGAGGAAAGGACCAATGAGTGAAATATAGACAACCTCCGGAGCTCACCAGACCTCTGAGGGTACCAGCAATCCACTCCTCTGCATAATAAGAACATAATAATCATAATAGATGATGGATGACACAGGTGTCACATCTACTGGCAGCTTTGGTTCTGAACATCTGACCCAGTCACAGGGAATAAATAAGACGCCGACAGAAAAGGGATGCTGATTACTGCTGGTGGGTGAGAGATAACGTCATGATCAGTGAGGTGCTTCTGCTGCTCTACCATCGCAAAGGAAAGCAGAGAAGTCACTGCTTTGCCTGCCCTGTCCACCTACAACAAGGATAGGCAACCTCGGCCCTCCAGCTGTTGTGGAACTACAAGTCCCATGAGGCATTGCAAGACTCTTTAACAGCCACAGGCTACAAAATCCAATCATGCTTCTGGCTGTCAGTCTTGCAATGCCTCCTGGGACATGTAGTTCCACAACAGCTGGAGGGCCATGGTTGCCTACCCCCTGCTCTTGCCAGCCATGTTGCATGATTATAACTAACATTTGGGGAGTCTGCATTACTATACAGCTGTGACAGAGTCCCCTGCTAATGCTAAAGAGCTCTAGATCTACAGAAAGTCTTGTGACTCCTCTAAGCAGCCCCTTCAATCCTTACATAGCTGCTGAATTCACCGACAAATACACAGCGATGGGGGAGGGGAGTCTAGTTAAAGTAAAGCACTCACAGTCCACCAATGCAGCAAAGGATTACTTTGTTCACAGAGAGTCTTATTTAGCTTTCCAGTCCCTGCATTCGGTTTCTTTTTTTCACCTGGTGATCCTGCCAGGAACGACTTCCTGTCTAAACGCATTTCTTCAACCAATCAGCCTCTAGCTTTCACTTTCAAAGCTTAACACAGGGGTGAGTAAACTCCTTCCCTCCAGCTGTTGTGGAACCACAAGTCCCATGAGGCATTGCAAGATTCTCACAGCCATGACTCCCAGGGACAGATGCATCATGGGATTTGTAGTTTCACCCCTGGCTGAACTGAACAAGCTGAAAGTAGAAGCTGATTGGTTGCTATGGGCAACTGCCCTAGTTTTGGTAAATTCCCCAAATGTGGAATATGTATGTAGGTGCATGGAAATGATTTATCTTCAAGTTGGGATTTGCCTCATTCCCATTAGTGCAGCAAAGCTCTGCAAGCCCTAATAACTATAATGAGTAACCCATGGCACCCCGTAGGCGTGCATTGCTGCTGTACCAGTGTCTATGTGCACCGTCAGGCTCTCTGGGCTCTTCTTGGCTTTCTTGGGCTGAGGAGCTCTGGCGGGGTCACGTGGGGCGGCGCTCTTCGGCTGAGGAGCTCTGGCAGGGTCACGTGACGCGCAGATCTTGCTCGCCCATGCGGGTTCACGTGACTCGACTGGGCGGGCTGAGGGCTCTCGCGGACCAGGGGCGCCACGTGACGGCGGAGCAGCCAATCGCCGGAAAAGAGGAAGATCCTCGTCCTCCTGCTCGCTCTCGCTGTTGCTGCTCGGCCGCGCCACGGCAACTGGGCGCCGGGCGGTGGAGGCCAGGAAGGGTAGGCGGGGCAGGTCCTCGCTGTCACTCGAGTCGGACGAGGATCCCATGCTTGCTTGCATTCAAAGTTGGCGCCGGAAGCTGAGGTGCGCGGAAACGGAAGTGACGTCGGGAAGTGGAAGATGTCGCTGCTGAGTGGTGTGTCCCGGCTGCTCGGTGAGTGACCTCCGTGATGCCCGTAATTGTTACCGGCTGAGTTTCCGTGGCGACCGTGCAGCCCCCCACCCCTCTTGCCTGTCATATGCAGACAGGGGGAGAGGTGACACTGACAGGTGGACGCTCATGTTATGAAAGAGAACCTGTCATCAGCCATCTTTACTCACTTTCTAGGAAACAGTGATGTTCCTGTATGTCTGGGCTGTGCTGGTGTTGTGAAGGCCTGCACTGACGTCTGTCCTGTCTTTGTGACATGGACAGAGAGATATTCTGGGCTGAAACAAGGACAAAAGAGACTTGTCTGACACTCACCCGAGAATCAGACAACATGGCGGTTCAGAGAAGAGCAGTGCGGCCCCTGGAGGGGGTCACAGAGTTCACATTCATTTATTAACACCCCAGCCACACCGCACATGTGCACAGTATTCAAGGGAGCACGTTGATAAGGAACCCAACCACAATGCGCATTCGCACGGTCGTAAAGTCCTGACCAAACTGCACATGCATGCCCTGAGCAGACGCAATCATAAGGGCCCCACTGCAACTGCACGTCCTTAGAATGGCACCTTGGCAGGCACAACTATAAGGTCACCGGACACACTGCACATCCTAAGCATGGCACCACAATCTCAAAGCCCTGCCCAAACTGCACATGCATGCCCTGAGGAGGCACAATCATAAGTGTCAGGCCACACTGCTCATGTGCAGCTTACTCATGCTAGTTGAGCGAGCACATGTATAAGGAAATGGCCACCATACGTATGTGTACCCCAAGCGTGCACATAATGAGGAAGACCCAGACAGGAGCATGTGCTGTGGCTCCAGGGAGACCTGCAGGGCCACCTAACCATTTCCATAAATGAGTGACACTAAAACCTGCATGAGATAATGATGCTTCCAAAACAGGCTGAGCATGAAATGAGGACTGAAAGCAAGCATCAGTATAAGGCAAGCGGTTACATATTATGTTCTCCACGGAGGAAATAACGCAGACGCGTTTCAGCGTAGTGTAGATGTACATTGCAGTGCATCAGCTCTACATCTCGCACGTGCGATGCGGTAGCACACTTTATCATGCAGGTGACGGCCTGCTTGTTGGTGTGAACGAGCTCTTCTGCTTCCCCCGCAGTGATGGAAATAGACACCATATTTTTAAAGCATGTCGGTAACCCCAAATGTTGGTGGTTGTTTTTTTTTTTTTTCCCATTTAGTTTTGAATAGAGAAGGGAAGGGTTAAACCTAGGGATGCACCAATACCATTCTTTCTAGACCGAGTATTGATACTGCTTTTCCTCAAAGTATCTGTACTCGTACTCCGTTATTCTCATTATAAGAAAAAGAACATAGTACGGCTGCAACCAACTAATCGATAATGAGAATAGTTGTCAACCATTCTCATTATCGATTAGTTGGTTGGATCCCCTAGCTCTCTGCTCCACGCTGGGAGGAGGGCACAGCAAGCAGTGTGCGGGGGCAATAGCCAGCCTGCTATTGGCTATTACAATTTGGAATGGCCGATAGCAGGCTGGCTATTGCACCCGCCCACTCCCTGCTGTATTTACATTCAGATGCCCTCTGCAGAATCTTGCCACTGGCGGCCGTCATTTCCTGGCTGAAGCTATTCAAGCGTCATGTGCTTACAATGCAATTATTTTTAAAATAAATCGTAAAAAGTGGAAAAAAGTAATTTTTGGTTTCGGCCTGACACGGCCTGACAAAACAATCAGCCAACTAATCGATTAGGAAAATGATCATTAGTTGCAGCCCTAGAACAAAGGACCTCCATCACAGATTGGGAGGGGGCGCTGTCAGTTACGGCAGCATCTCCTGTTCCCATAGTGATACAGTAGTGTGGAGGGTGATGATGCTGCAACTGACAGCACGGGCAGATCATCTCATCCCCCC